GGCAGGACCTCCTCACAGCAGAAGACAGAAGAGATTCCCAACTTCAGGCCAAGGACAAAGTCAACCTCACCTCCATCATCATCCCAACCCCCTTCCTTTTCATTATCACATTTGAGTCCCCAGATAGCCTCGTAGAGAATGGGAGTCAGAGGTGATCCTCCCATTTTACGGATGAGGAAACCGGGACTCAGGGGGAGGGGCTCGCTGTTAAATTAAAAACACAACTCAGGTCTTCTGAACCCGAGCTTGGTGCCCTCCCCACTGCCACGCTGCCTCTCCTGGGTGCTCGGTAAAGAGGCACGAATGGGGCAGATCTCGTGGCTCATGGCTCTGTTGTATCACCTTTCTCATACATCAAGGACTCTGCTGAGTGCTTCTCTCATCCCTTATCTCAGTAAGTTTTCACTATCTCCAAGTAAATAACAGACTTTTTCACTTTACAGGTGAAGAAAGTAATGTTCAAAGTCCAACAGACATATGTCCAAGGACACACTGTTAGGAGGTGGTCACCATTCACCACCAGTCAGTCCGACTCTAAGCCCAGACTCTTCCTGCTATGTTGCCTTGGTGTGTTCATGCTCTCCACGTGGACAGGGATGGAGACTTTTACATGTATGCCTGCCCACAGCAGGTTCTAGCTACCTGTTGGCTTGTACAATTATTATTCCCAAGACTGAAGCCTTAAACAAAACAAAGACAGAAATTACAATCCAACCAGAACATATAATCATGAAACTTTATGCTCCTTACAACACCACTTCAAAATAAAAATGATTCAAAGGGGAAAAGAAAAAATGAACAAACTCATGATCCAAGTAGATTTAATACACCTCTATCAGAAATGAACAATGAATAAGTAAATTCAACAATTCTTGAACTTTTTGGTCTCATGGCCCCTATACACTCTTTTTTTTTTTTATATATATATTTTATTGATTTTTTTACAGAGAGGAAGAGAAAGAGATAGAGAGTTAGAAACATCAATGAGAGAGAATCATTGATTAGCTGCCTCTTGCACACCCCCTTACTGGGGATGTGCCCACAACCAAGGTACATGCCCTTGACCAGAATCGAACCTGGGACCTTTCAGTCCGCAGGCCAACGCTCTATCCACTGAGCCAAACCGGTCTCGGCCCCTTTACACTCTTAAAAATTATTGAAGTTTTTAGATTAAAGAGCTTTTGGTTATATGGGTTTATACCTATCAATAATTACCATGTTTAAAATTAAAACTGAGAAAAATTTTAATTTATTAAATCCGTTTTAAAGGACAATAATAAACCCATTATTTGTTAACACAAATTTTGTGAAAGTTAATTACATTTTACAAAACAAAACAATTAGTGGGAAGGGTGGCTTTGCTTTACATTTTTGCAAATCTCTTTCATATGTGGATTAACAGAGAGCAGGTTCTCAAATCTCCTTCTGCACTCAGTGTGTTGTTAGATACTGTTTTGGTTGAACGATATGAAGAAAACTTGGCCTCACACAGAAATGTAGTTGGAAAGGAGTGTATTTTAATAGACTTTTCAGATATTGTGGGTATTCTCCATTAATACTACCAAAAAAACAAATGATACGTGGCAGTTCCTTAAATGTTGGTTGTAATGTAGAATCTGAATCTATATCAATAAACTTTTCTGATTTGGCTCAGTGGATAGAACGTCGGCCTGGGGACTGAAGGGTCCCAGGTTCGATTCCAGTCAAAGGCACAACCCCAGCAGGAGGCAGATGATCTATGTTTCTAACTCTCTATCCCTCTCCCATCCTCTCTGTAAAAAAAAAAAAAAAAAAAAAAAAAAAAAAAAAAAAAAAAAAATTGATAAATAAAATAAACTTTTCTTACTGTTAACTTAAAATCTATTGGTCTATCTTGTACTTTGAGTGGATCTTGGAATTATGTACTATTTTAACCTTTAGACTTTCTGAAAGGGACTTGGGGACCCTCAGAAGAATCCTGATTATACTAGGAGAACCACAGAAGTACGCAATAAAAAGTAGAAAACTGTAGGAGTTGATAACCTAATTAAGCAAGTTTGATCTACAAGGACTTTGCTCACAACAGCCCATGAATAAACATTCTTTTAAACAAACTATGCCCACTATCAGCCGGAGAGATATGTACCTGGACAGACGGCAGACACTCCAAGATGGACGGATGCCCAGCACGCCAGGTGCTTCCCCCAGCTGCCCAGGCCCTCGGACAGCCTCACCAAGAAGGGGCACCACGTGGGAGGGCAGCCTCCTGCCTCCTGGGGCTGCACAGCCAGAAAAGCTTCCCTGAGTGACTGCCCCACGGCACAGCCACCACCTGGCACCATTCTTGTGAAGAGCTTCCCTCCTGGATCTCATCAGGGGTTCCACGTCCGAAAGCCTCCAGGGTCCCCAAGGCAGAGTCCAGCCCGGCCCCTCTGGCCCTCAGAGCCCCTGCGCTGCCCAGTGCAGACTCACTCCGTTCTCAGACCATCTGCAGTTCTTACCCAGCCGGCAGCAGGAACAGTGCCTCCCTCTGTCCAGACCAGGCACTGCAACTCCAAGAACGGCACAGATGACCAGCTGCCCAAGGAGCCAGCACCTTGTACAGCCATTGGGGAGCTCCAACACCCACCCACCCCCAGTGCCCAGGGCCACACTTCCCCTGGAGGGCAGAAGCCTGGACAGGCCCGAGGCGGGCTGAGGGGTGAGCTGGAGTGCAGAGAGCAGAATCCCAAACCAGAGCCAGAGCCAAGGTGTCTGGGGGAGCTTTCAGAACACACCCCACACTTTACCCTATAATTACACATCCATCCCTGGAAGATCTGGGTGTCTATTATGGGCTGGCACTGTGCCTATTATGGGCTGGCACTGTGCAGGGGGCTTGGTCTCCATGCATCATTTTGTTTGCCTCTCACAATCGCTGCTGAGGAGGTCCAGCTTACAAACAAGGAAATGGAGAGTCCAAATGGCTAAATACTTGCCCAAGGACACTCAGTGAGTATGCACTTGGATTTGAACCTGACTTAGTCTGCCTGTAGTTCTGACTCTTGCACCATTGCTACACTGTGCTGTCTGACCCTGTAGGGACCAGTCCTTCACCTCCTGAGGGTCATCCACAGAACCTATTCGTGCTGGGGATTGGGAAAGGGAATAGGGGGAGAAAATACCCTTAGCTTGTTCTACCTGGATCCAACCGAGTCACCCTGGACATCAAAAGAGTCTGTCCCTCCCCAGGTTCTGTCTGCTGAATTTTCTTCTGCCTCCTCTGCCTTGCATCTTCTTCTCACAGCTAGATTGGGGGATGCAGAGCCTATGTCCTTTGCATTTCTGTATCCCTCTGTGTGTGTAGGTGCTCCGTGTGTGGTGCATATTAAGAGGAGTGGGCTTTGGTTTCTCTCAGCTACCACTGCAAGGACAGATCCATGGGAGCCAGGAAGCTTGGGGACATCGGGAGGATTGGGAGTCTGGGGTGGATAAGAGCAGGTGTGGAGGGGGCAAATGTCCCAGCAGAGCCAGCCTCCAGCAGAGCCAGCCCCCAGAGCACCCAAGCCCTCCTGCTAGATACCTCCCAGTGAACCCTCCCCAGCAAAGGCTGGGAGATCAAGTCCAAGCCATCCTCCCCACAAAGCCTCTCCTCCAAGCCTCTCTTCCCGCAGGGAAGCCAATGAAAGGCAGGACCCAAACAGAAGGAAAAGACCCTAAACTTAGTTCTCCCGAGGTTTGCCTCCTCTCTGGTGCCTCCCTGGATATCCCCTCCATTCCTTCCTCCGCCTGGCGCCCAGAGGAGGCACACTGTCCCACTGTTTCCTCGCCGGGGGCGGAATTTATGATATCTTAGGACAGAGAGGTCAAGTTCTGGCCTCTGGAGTCCAACACCTGGACTCGAATCCTGAATCCTCCACTTATTCGCTGTGTGACCAAGGACCGGTTCCGTCCCCTCTCTGAGCCCTCCATAGCCATCAAGGCTTCAGACTCAGAATCCAGACCTCTAGTTCCATCTGGGCTCTGACTCTGGTTCAAGTCCCCACACCGGTGCTTACTTAACCTCTCTTAACCCCATTCACTCAGCGCCTGTATCGGTCAAGTGGGATTATTCATAGTACCCGCCCACCTGAGAGCGGTTGGTGTGTACATTAAATGAGTGTGTAATGTATGCAATCTGCTCAGAGCAGACTTGGCCCCGTAAGGCCTAGCTATCAGTTGGAACAGTCGCTGATAAGGCTGTGCCGCGCTGTGCAGTGTCTCTGGCACCGAGGAAGGACTCACTACACAATCGCTATGGTATCATCTTCGCCTCCACTGGGTCATGATGATCCTGGAGGTGCCCAGCACCAAGCAGGAGCTCCGAAAATGCTGGAGGGCGGGGAGGGGGACGAGCTGACCGCCTGAGCCTGGAGGGTGTGGGCAGCAGGCAGGAGCCTCCCGCTGGGAGGAGGGAAGCCCGAGGTGTCGGGGAAGAGAAAGCAGAGTGGAGGGGGAAAGGCCCAGACGGAGAGATAAGCGCACGGAGTGAGTGAGAAGAGGAACAGGAGAGGCTGAGCCGCAGAGCGATAAGGAGGAAGGAGAACGAGGGCGAGGGGCGAGGGAAATGTCCAGAGAAGTGAGGGAGCCTCCAGGAGAGGCGTGAAGCGAGACGGCTTGGCGGCGGCAGGGGAGCCCGGGATCCGCCGAGGGGCGCAGGAGCCGGCTCCGGGCAGGAGGCGCGGGAGCGGGTGGGAGTGGCCGCCGGGGCTCCACCCTGCCTCCCTCTCTCCCTCCCTGCCTCCCCGCCGCCCTGGGGTGGGGCCGGGCGGCCTGAGATTGGCTGGGGCGCGTGTCGAAGCCCCGGGCTGGAGCCCCGAGGTGGGAGGCGCCAGGATCCCACTTGGTGCGTGCGCCCAGGAGGGAAGCGACATCGGCCACCCACTCCGAGGACTCCGGCTGCCGCGGCTGGAGGGGGACGTGGTGGCGGAAGCACCCGGGGCAGCGGGAGCACCCGGGGCGGCTAGGGGCGCCGCGCACCGAGCGGCGGGGTGCGCGCAGCCATGCGGGGGGCGGCGGGGGGCGCGCGGGCCGCGGCGCTGGCGCTGGCGCTGCTGCTGGGGGCGCTGCGCGGGGCGCCGGCGCGCGGGCAGGAGTACGACTACTACGGCTGGCAGGCGGAGCCGCTGCACGGGCGCTCCTACTCCAAGCCCCCCAAGTGCCTGGACATCCCCGCCGACCTGCCGCTCTGCCACACCGTGGGCTACAAGCGCATGCGGCTGCCCAACCTGCTGGAGCACGAGAGCCTGGCCGAGGTGAAGCAGCAGGCGAGCAGCTGGCTGCCGCTGCTGGCCAAGCGCTGCCACTCGGACACGCAGGTCTTCCTCTGCTCGCTCTTCGCGCCCGTCTGCCTGGACCAGCCCATCTACCCGTGCCGCTCGCTGTGCGAGGCCGTGCGCGCCGGCTGCGCGCCGCTCATGGAGGCCTACGGCTTCCCCTGGCCCGAGATGCTGCACTGCCACAAGTTCCCCCTGGACAACGACCTGTGCATCGCCGTGCAGTTCGGCCACCTGCCCGCCACCGCGCCTCCAGGTAGCGCCGCCCCGCCGCCCCCACGCGCTCCGATGGCCCTGGGTGCCCGGTCAGGCGCCGCTCCCCCAGCCCCTCCGCACAGCTTTCCTTCTTCCTATCTAACCGGCCCCCCAAAAAAACAACTACCTGTACACACACACACACACACACACACACACACACACACCCCTATGCGCTTAGCCTTGAGCACCCCCGGGATTGTCTCCACGGCCTTCCCGCCTCCCCACAGACTGCCAGAGCAGAGCCTCCCTGCGGCCCTGGACCTTCCCACGGGTTCTCCCCACTGAACTGCCTGAAAACCTTTCCCCAGGCTTCCCTGCGGCACCCACCTCCCCAAGCGATGAATGCCTGGGTGCTCCCAATACTGTCCCCTCCTCCTAGGGCGTCCTGATAAATGCCTTATTGCCTCTCTCAGCCCAAGAATGTTGGGGGGTCGACAAACCACGCTTTTACCTCTTCCACAAACCTGGACCCCAATGCATCCCGACAAGGATTCCCACCCAGTTTGGGGAACTTGGGAGGGAGGAGGGCTACGGGGAGGGATATAGTGAAAATCTGGGGACTAAGTGCACACTGGGGCTGATTCCCATCTCCCCATTTCCTCTCCCTAACTTTCCCTGCTCTCTTCCTCAGCCCCCCCAGTCCCCCACTGCAAGACCTTGAGCAAGGCTCAGTGCAGAAGAGCGAGCAGAGAGTCAGGCTCTGCCCCTTCAGCATCAGTTTCCCCATCTGTAAAACAGAGACCCAGTTCCTGAAACCTCTGACATCCTAGGCGAGATCTCCCACCAGCCTCCCAAAACCCACTCCCCCTAATACCTCCCTGGCCTCAGCCTCCCCTTCACTGTGCATCCCCTCATCCCCTCTTCCCACCGTCTTCCCAGCTCCTTTCAAACGGAGTAGCTGCCAGCCAGCACCAGACAAGAGGATAAACCCGGGCGTTGAGCAGGAAAGCTTTCCTGGGCTCTTAATCTGAGACCCCAGGAGCCCCGACCCTGGGATTTCCCCCAGGGCAGCACAGCTCTCTTCCTTCTTATCTGGCTGGCCCCCCAAAAAACAGCTACCTCAGCATGCCCCGCCCACCCCCAGGCTCACCTCACCAACAAGTCCCCCGTCCTCACATCAGGCCCTCTCCTGGGAGTCTCATTTGGGTGGGGGCTGCGGAGTGTCAAGAGAAGGGAACTCCTCCTTGGGTTGAAAATGGGACAGGGAGGCAGGGGGGATGGAGACGGCTTAGTCCCCAGCAGGGAGCCAGCCCTTTACCGTCTGGAAGCAGGGAATCCCACCTGGCCCCTCCCCCGAACTCCGCCTTGTCTGAGCCCCTTTCCCCCATGTTGGGGGGCCACCCGGAGACAGAGACATGGGAGACCAGAGGCTGTGCAGGGGCCTTGGGAGCAGCAGCCTGAGCGTAAGACAAAACTCCTTCTTTTGTATAAAAGTGAAGACTCTGGCTCCTTTGGAAAGTCGGACATGGTGGCAGTGCTAAGGCTGCCCACGCAGAGGGCTGGGCGCCCCTCCTCACAGTCCCTGTCCTGCCAGGACTCTGTCTGCCCCACGTCTGGGCCCTGTGCTCCTGGAAGAACCCCTCAACGCCCTCTCCCAGCTCCAGCCTGGGAGTCACAGATCCCGAGTCCGAAGCTCGGCTCTCACATCTTTGCAGACTTGGGCAGCTGCTCTGAGCCTCAGTTTCCTTGTCTTTAAAACAAAGAAATACCTACTTCTGAGGATTAAACGAAACGGCGGCAGCTGCAGGGTCATGGGCGGTCGCGCCCACCTGGGCAGTGTTGTCCCTGCCCAACCTGTCTCTCTCCTGTTCACAACCACTCAGTGAGCAGGTGGTGTTATCACTGCCGCCTCCCACTTCCTGGTAAGAAGTGGAGGCTGCACAGGGGAGGCGGCTCGTCCTTGGAGCCTGCACCCTGAGTGGCTCTTTGGACTCTGGTCCCCACACCAGCCTCCCTCAGCCCCACCCTTGCCTCTCTCTTCAGTGACCAAGATCTGCGCCCAGTGCGAGATGGAGCACAACGCGGACGGCCTCATGGAGCAGATGTGCTCCAGTGACTTCGGTGAGTGTGGGGCCCACGCAGCCACCCCGCCCCTCCTCCTCGACACACACATACATGAACACATATGTCCATGCCCATCACTGTGAACCCTAAGTTTTTTGCCTTAGGAACTCCGTTTAGACTGATGATAACCATGAACCCTCTCCCCAGAGAAATGCCCCCATTTTTAATATCATCTCAGGAGCTTCCGGCCATGGTCTACAGGCCTCAGACACCATCCCTCGCTTGGCACCATCCAGAGGGGCCTCCAGAGCTGGGCTCTCTGTGTGGGGAGCAGGCTGAGCCCCGAGATGGACGGGAGCAGTGGGTAGGAGAAATGGGCTCCAGAACGGAGGTGCAGCCCCCTCGTGCCTGGGGTCCTCTCCTGAGTACCCGATGGACTGGTACTCTGGCCAGGGGGGCTGTGGTCACCTGCCCCACAGCTTCAACCTGGGGCCACCCCATTCCCAGGCAGCTGAGTCTAGTGCAGTCAGGCCTCGGCTCCTGCATGGACCACACAGTCCAGTTTGTGCTCTCCGCCAAGTCAGCTCCTGTTTTGTGTCTTGGCCTCCCTGTCCGAGAGAGAGAGAGAGAGAGAGAGAGAGAGAGAGAGAGAGAGAGAGAGAGAGAGATGAAATCCTTACTTCAGCAGGTCTCTCATGTTGCTAGTCTGTTTGGAAAAAGAATACCACTCTTTTATCACAAGGTGTGTGTGTTCAAGAGAGAACAAGGTGTGTGTGTCCAAGAGAGAAAATGAGGAGGTGAGGGAGCAGGAGGAAGAGAAGGGAAGAAGGGAAGAGATTTCATAAAAGCTTCCTTCCCTGGGTGGAAAAATTCTTGGACTTCTCCCTGGATGCTGAGATGGGCCCAGAGGCCTGAAGAAGGGAGAGGGAGATGAACCCAACGGACTCCTCCCCAAGCTCAGGGCTCCCTGTTCCCAACTGTGTGAGGCTCTCTGTGGTCACTTTGGAGGGCCTGGACACTCTCTGACCACTCTTCTCCTACATTCCTCCGGTGCCCCACTCTCTCACATTCCCACACACAACACACAGCACCACACACACACTCCCACCCACCCACTCACCTACAGTCGCACACAGGTTAGTGGTGTGTTCACACCAGCTTCCCAGCCTTGTACTCAGGGATGTGTGCATCATAGCAGGGGTATTTATCCCACGGAAACCAGTGAGTGACAGGGCAGACTCCTTCCCTAGAGCCAGCTGTCAAACACTTAGCAGCCCACATTCACGCATGTGGACTCAAACACACACACATACCGACTTGTACCCACCACATACACTCCACACCACACACACACACACACACACACACACACACACACAGAACCAGAAATCCCATTCAGAAACATCCCCGGAGAACATGAAGTCCAGCCTCCCTCCATCTCAAGGACCCCTCCCCACCAAGCCTTCTGATTGCTCACCACACCTCCAACATCGCCCTCCCTGGACAGCCCACCACCACGCACCCGAGAGCTCACAGTGCACTTCTCCTACCCGCACCTCCAGCCTCCAATGTGATACTGTCCGTGAAAGTCCAACGCAAGATAGGAGCTTCATAAACATGAAAGTGTGCGTGTGTCGCTCCCCATTGAAGCCTCAGGCACGAACACCAGCAGTGAGGCCACCAGCATCCTGAGCAAACCTAACCGTTCTCATGCTGTCCTGTCCACCCCCACATACAGTGGTCAAAATGCGCATCAAGGAGATCAAGGTGGAGAATGGGGACCGGAAGCTGATCGCAGCCCAGAAGAAGAAGAAGCTGCTCAAGCCGGGGCCCCTGAAGCGCAAGGACACCAAGCGGCTGGTCCTGCACATGAAGAGCGGGGCGGGCTGCCCCTGCCCGCAGCTGGACAGCCTGGCCGGCAGCTTCCTGGTCATGGGCCGCAAGGTGGACGGGCAGCTGCTGCTCATGGCCGTCTACCGCTGGGACAAGAAGAACAAGGAGATGAAGTTCGCAGTCAAGTTCATGTTCTCCTACCCCTGCTCCCTCTACTACCCCTTTTTCTACGGGGCCGGTGAGCCCCACTGAAGGGGGCCCTCACAGCTGCGCCTTGGCCCCATTCCTGCCCTGGGGCACACTGTCACCTCCTGCCCCCAGTGCCGGCACGGGCCCTAAGGGATAGGCATGGAGCCCGAGCCGTCCTCGACTGAAGGCTTTTGGGGTATCTGGGAGCTTCCTCTCTTAAAAAATAAGGTTTCTTTTCTTTTGAAGGGAAACCCCCAGAGTCTCAAAAAGTAGGCAAGGAGGAGAGACAGAGGAAGGGTAGAGGGGCTGTGAGCAGCTGAGGCAGTTTCTGGAGTGGACCATGGTGTGAGCTCCCCTCTGCTGGGGGGCCTTGCCTTGGAGAGGGGAGTCTGGATATGAGGCTGAACTTGGAGGACAGTTCTCTGCCCCCGCTGCCCCTGCGTGCGTCCTCTCGTAGCCCCCAGAGGGTCACAGTGCCCTCTGGCCACTCCTCCCGACTGTCCCCATCTCTGCCAGCTCCCTTACCCCTAGACCGGAGAGAAGCCCAGCCTAGATCCCCTCCCATTAGCTCGCTTCTTGGGGTTCATTCCTCAGCCCCTGCATGTCCCCTTTACCTTGACAAGTAAATTATTGCTACTGCTGCGAGGCCGCAGGTACTAGGCTGATGCAGGTAGGGTTTGGTGTTTAACGGTTTGTTTTGTTAAGTTTTTAATTAAAGAACACAACAGTTGGTTTTGACCAGGTGGTTTCTCTGTCAGGCGGTCCCCGGAGCGAGGGAGAGGGAGGTTCAGAAGGGACTTTTAGAAAGAGGCCCTTGTCATGGCCCACGGCCTGTCCACACACACATATTCAGAATGCCTCACAGCAGCGTCCATGCTTGTGCAGGATCCCCCAGGAGCACACAACAAGGGTCACCCCAATCATCCCCACCCATGAGGGACGGAGCTGGCCGTCTTTTGTCTCTGAGGCCAGCCAAGTTCCCCAGCCTCCTCCCACGGCCAGAAGGCTCCCACGGCCAGAAAGCTCCCACGATCCTGAGGAGTCTCCCTCCCTCGGGCAACGCCTGTTCTGAGGAGCCGAGAGGCCAGGCCACAGAGCTACTTGGAGGAGCCAGAGGCCTGACCGTGCTGCTCCTACACTCTCAGCACACAGACACCCTTGCACATGGTCCTGACACGGAGATGAGGGTGCAGAATGGTGGTCTCTGGACCAGAGCATCAGCATGAAGTAGCAGCTCAGGCCCCACCTTCCACGAAACACTGGACCTCGCTCAAAAGCAATTATTTCCGAATCTCTGGAGGGTGTTCGGAAATGGGCATTTCTCCGTGCTCGCTGGGGTGGTGTGCAGTCCAGGGGAGACCTTCCACCTAGGTTTCCAGATACACCCACACCGGAGGCAGGAGGAGGGCACTGGGCCTGCCTGCATGGAGGGCACCAGCTAGGATGCCCGAGGGGCTCCTTCAGTGAGCCAGTGAGGTGGAGGCTGCTCCCTGAGGGGCAGGGAGGGGCAAGCCTTCGAGTGGAAGCGACAGGCTATTGCCAGTCAAATGTCCAGCACTTGGAAGAGGTGGTGCCCAGAGAATCCTTAGGGGCGTCCACCAGCAGAGACGGAGGGGCAGGGCAGATGCGCCAGAGCAGGGAGTGGGGGACGCCCCCAGAGGGCTTCCCTCACCAGTGAAGGCACAGCTGTAATGCCTCCCGTCACGCCCGCTGCTCCTCCAGGACAACGAGCCACGCTCTCCCGAGGTGAGAGCCTTGGCTCCCGCGGCTCTCCGTTGCCTCAGAGGCCCGAGGAGGCCGGAGGGCTCCGTCTGCGGTGGGCAGTGGAGCTAACAGGTGGTCTGACAGCATGCCCGTAAATCAGCCCGGCCGTAAGTCAGGTGGCCTCCCCACAGGTCAGGAGCAGCAGAGGCCGCTTGTTCCTCCTCACCTCCGAGGAAGCCGCTGCCACCCACCCTCGCCCCAGCCCTGCCCGGCCCACCTGGCTCCCTGAATCCGCCCCTTGTCTGCCAGCCTCCTGCCCTGACCAAATGTTTACGGACACTTCCACGGTCAACCGGGACCAGGGATGATTTTTCCACTGAACCTACAGGACTGGGCCTCTTCTGGCCGGAGCACAATACTGACCTCTGTCAGGTGCTGGCAGCCAGAGGGAGCAGGCGGGGAGAGCTCCCTCAGGCCAGCCCAGCACAGCCCTCACCCAGCCCCCACGAAGGCGCCAGGCCTGCTCTACACGCCAGTCTGTCCCCTGGCAGATCCTCCCCTGGGACCAAGAGAGATCCTCCCAGAGACCAGGGAGGCCTGGAGCCCCCACTTCACTTCCTCAGGCATGACACCCCCGCCTGGGGGCTCCCTCCTGGCTGGTCTGGAGTCTGCTGGAGCACAGTGGGCACCTGGGCTGTGTATTCTGAAGAGTTGCATCTGACTGCGTGGAACAGAAACGCCGGGGAACTGGGGCTCCTGCACACTAGAGCTTGAGACGAGCAGGGAAGGGTCCATGTCCCAGGCTGTTCTGTCTCCCTGCTCTGCCAGGGGGGGCTTTTGTGCTCACGGTTACAACATGGTGCCTCCTCCCAACTTCTCGGTCACACTCAGGCAGCAAGGTGGGGAACTGCTCATAGCAAAAGCCGCGTGTCAGCGGTCTCTGGCCCTTTTGATCAGGAAAACAGTAATTTCCCAACAAGTCCCACATGGTAGAATTCCACTTCTAGCTCACCAGCCGGAAGTCACAGGGCCCCCCTAGTTGCAAGGGAGCAGAGAAGTCAAGTAGTGTTTCAGCTGGGCACACTCAGCGTTCTGAGAGAAAACAGGAAAGATGAGGTTAAACACTCAAAATCAGGTGAGAAGAGGTAGCAAAGCCCAGTTCTGGTGTCCAATCCTGTGACTTAGGGACTGTGTGACACTGGGAACATGGCCCAACTATAAAATAGAGTCATCATGTCTATTTCACAAGGTAGCTGAGTATGAAGTGGGAAAGTGTATGAAAAGTACCTGGAGCCCAGCCAGCATGGCTCAGTGGTTGATCATAGACCTATGAACCAGGAGGTCATGGTTCAATTCCTGGTCAGGGCACACGCCCAAGTTGTGGGCTCAATCCCCAATGGGGGGTGTGTAGAAGGCAGCCGATCAATGATTCTCTACCATCATTAATGTTTCTATCTTATTCCCTCTCCCTTCCTCCTTGAAATCCATAAAAATATATTTCAAGAAAAAAGTACCTGGAAAAAATACCCAGCACTTAGAAGATGTTCATTAAATGGTAGGTAGTATTTTTTGTTTTGTTTTTTAACCACAGGCCTGCACATATGTGTTCAATAAACCCCAATTGACTTATTCATCAACTAAGAAACCACTACTGATAGGAAAGCAGGGAAAAGAGGAACAGCTTATCTAAAAGCTAGAACTGTCACTTTCAGAAGGGGAGTGGAAGCTACATTTGGACTTCCGCTTCAGGAAAAATATCCCCAATATAGGGGAGAAGACATATAATGCCAGTAATCAGTAAGTGTCAAGACTATGCTGATGGCAGGCACTACTCAAAGCACTGTAACACTCTAATGTAAGCTTCCCAACAGCCCTTTGTGGCAGGTACTATTATTTTTTTTTAAATATATTTTATTGATTTTTTACAGAGAGGAAGAGAGAGGGATAGAGAGCTAGAAACATCGATGAGAGAGAATCATCGACTAGCTGCCTCTTGCACACCCCCTACTGGGGATGTGCCCTTGATCGGAATTGATCCCGGGACCTTTCAGCCCGCAGGCCGATGCTCCATCCACTGAGCCAAACCAGTTTCGGCAAGGCAGGTACTATTATTATCCCCATTTTAGTAAGGTGGCTCAGAGAGGTTAAGGAATTTGTTGAAGGTCACACAGTTTATACATGATGGTAAGTGCTAGGATTTGAGCCAAGGACAGGCCAGAGGGGTACAGACAGCCAGGCTTCTGCCACCCAACAACCCCCCGCACCCCCACCCCCCCTGCTTCAGAGGGTGATAACTGGGAGCCCTGACAGCAGCGGAGGAGCCAGCCTCAGACTGTGGCTTTTCTCGGGACTCCCAGAGCAGCCCACCATGACCCCACTCCCTTTCTCAGCCCCGTCAGCACTCAGCCTCTTGGGTCTCACAAAGGAAGCTCACATCCCACAACTGTTTAGTCGGCTGTAATCCTGGCTAAAGTTCACTGCTTGGGAAATACAACGTGGGGGGTGGCTGCTCCTGGAATGTGTGTGGCTGAGACCCAGTGTCCCAACCCAGACAGCAGGCTCTACTGGGGCCCTGAAGAGAGCAGCAGCCAGGGGAATCCGGCGTCCCTAGCCCCCAGTTGTGCCAGAGAATGGAATGTGCTGCTCTGGGTGTTAAAACAGCCCCAGCCAAGGAAGGGGCGGGGGGGAGGGGGGGGCACTGGGAGTTGGCAGAGTGGGGAGAGCTCCTACCACAAGGCTGCCTCTGTTCCCCTGGAGGCTGTGCCCACTTCGTTGGGCTGAAGGTGGGCAGGACCCTCCTGTTAGCTCAGTGCTCAGAAGCGCCCGGAGCTCGAGGGGGCGAAGGCAGAACAGGGAAGGGTGACAACAGTCAGGACAGCTGTTCCCCAAAGGTTCTCTTAGGAGGCATCTACAGGTACCTCTGGCCCAGTGGCTTCCTAGCTATGTGACCTGGGGCAGGTTACTCAACCTCCTCAGGGCCTTCATGTACCCATCAGTTAAATGGAATAAATAACGGACCCTAGCTTGGGGACTTTCATAACATTTACATGTCAATACACATAAGTATTATCATTCTCTTAAGGCCACTTGCACTAGGAGAGAGTCTGGAGCCAGGGCCCCTCAAAGGGGTTGCCTCCTTGAAGGTTCCATGGAGACAAGGGAATGAGAGTGGAGCTTCATCTGTCTTCAGTATCGAAGGTGATCAAGGACCACAAAGATCCTAGAAAGCATGGCCAGAACAAGGTCTCCCAGGGCCACTAGAGCCTACTTCCCACCATTACCAACCCCCAAAAAGATGGGCAGAACCCTCAAATCCAGCCAGGCTGAGGGAGCTGGCAGCCCATCCCATATCTGTCTCAGCAGGCACCAGGGCTGTAGCAGAACCTGGCTCCTGTCCCCTCCTCCTGGTGCTTGAGAACTGGAAGGAACCTTTTAAACAGGCAGCCAGCTCTGCCTTCCGGGCCACCCCACGCCCAGCCTTCTCCACACCAATGTAAGGCACAATGCAGCCCTGATGACGGTTCCTGTCCTGTAAAGCCGTCGGGCCCGGCCTGCTTCGCTCAGCCCCTCACACACCACCTGTAAATAAGGAGGTGGCCCTGGCTTCCTCTCTGTGGGGCTACCCACCTCAGATGATGGGGACCATGTTTCTCATGTTCTGTATCCCATGTCCCACGAGCTACTGTGCTACAGTCTGCATTTCACCAACATTCGGCATTATCTTCCTTTTCCCAAAATAAAATGATATTGACTTGGCTTATTCCAACTACACTCTGGCCACTTTCTGAGACTCTTTCCTGACTAACCATCGAAGGTTATTTTCTAGTATAAAAAAATAATAAACCGCCGAAACCGGTTTGGCTCAGTGGTAGAGCATCGGTCTGCGGACTGAAAGGTCCCAGGTTCGATTCCGGTCAAGGGCATGTATCTTGGTTGGGGGCACATCCCCGGTAGGGGGTGTGCAAGAGGCAACTGGTCAATGTTTCTCTCTCATCAACGTTTCTAGCTCTTTCTCTCTCTTCCTTCCTCTCTGTAAAAACTCAATAAAATATATATTAAAATAATAATAATAATAATAATAATAAACCACTATTCTAAGCCACCCAGGCAGAGCTGTTCTTTCTTCCTTTGAAGATTGCCAGGATGGTGGTAATAAGCTGGCGTTTACAGAGTGCTTGCTATGTGCCAGGCACTGCACTCTAACCTCATTTAATCCTCACATTGGCCCTCTGAGACCAATGTCACTATCATGCCCATATTACAGATGAGTAAAGTAACATAGAAAGGCCCGGGGAAAAGGCCCCTATGGCAACTCAAACGGCGTCACTATAGCGGATAGCAGAGCAGGCCCACCGCAAGCCCCCTCCCCTACCACCTCCAGGACATCCCTGACTCATGCAGGCTCTAAGTCCCTGCTCCATCGAACACGGTGGGGAACACATATCCTCCGATGGGCAGTGTCACCTCTGCGTGAGAGGATAGAACGGCTGCCGGAGCAGCTTTCCAGCGGCCTCTTCCGTAGGCCTGTGCTCACTCCTGTCCCCTTCTGCTCAAAGGCCCTATTTTATTTTCCACTCCTCTATCTGATGACCCACAGACTGCTAAGGCTGTCTTCTATGTTTTGTGGAGGTCGTTTTTTAGAGAGGAAGGGAGAGGGAGAGAGTGAAACATGGATCAGCTGCCTCCTGCAAACGCCCTAGCATATGCCCTGACCGGGAATCAAACCAGCAACCTTTTGGTGTACGTGACGATGCCCAGCTGAGCACACTGACCAGGGGGCACATCCTGAAAAGTGCCAGGACAAGGTCCTGCTGCTTCCCTGCCTCTCAGGACCCCTGGGAGCTGCTGGGTCCTCCACACCAGGGGAAGCTCCGAGCTTCGCAGAATCCCACCTAGACCAGACCGGGCCACAGCTACAAGGACACCTGGCACCTAAATCCGAGGTTATGGGGCTGCCACAGAGCCCAACTCCCCACAACTGGGTCTCACATTCCCTTCTTCACTGCCCCAGGCCTACCATCTGGAGGCATAGCTCCTGTGGCCCCTGGTCTGCAAAGTGCCACGCTGAGCCTTTTACAGCCACTGCTTAACTTCCCTGGACCTCCATCTCCTTACCTGCAAAATGGGGAGAAGTACAGCACCTGCCTCACAGGGCCACAGTGAGGATTAAATGAAACAATGTGTGTAAAGCACTTACCACAGTGCCTGACAACCAGTAAACACCCCACACCCCAGCCTTCAAGAACTACTTACAACCCCCTCCCCCATCTCACAGCCAATCCTCTTACCGGCTGGCTCCCAGCCTCACCTAGGGCAGATCCTTTTTTATTTTCTCAGAAGGATTAGCTAAAATCTTTCCGTTCTAAAGCCTGCATTGCTTAGTTTACTGAATTCTAGTCCCAACCAACCCAGCCCCCACAATTTGGTCACAAGACAGATCCTCAAGTCAATCCAACAAACATGTGCTGAGCCCATCCTGTGTAAGGCACAGCCTTCCTCCTCCTGCCCCCAGCTCACACGACTTCATCTCCATGCCCGTCCGCCCCCGTGCTGCAGGCACAGCCCAGGCCTGCACACTCAGCACTGGGGGCACTGGCTCTCCGGCCTTAGGACAGGGTGAGCGCAAGGACCAGGTCAAAAAGAAGCTTGAGGCCTTTTTATTGATAATTCTCCAAATACACAGAAGTCCTTTAGATCCTCTCCAGTGTAACAAAGCACAGGGCACTTAGCGCTCATCTCTGAACAGGACAAAGGAGCCTGAGGAAGGGGGACACCAAGGCCTGCCTGGTTCCCCAGGGACTTGCCCCTCACCGGCCTGGAGCAGGCCTGTCTTCCCAGCCCAGGCTAGAAAGCTGGTCTACAATGGTCCTTGCCTCCCCATCCTGCCTCCTGGGTCCCTGTTTAGGGTATAGAAACATCTCCACCTCCTCTGGGCTCTGAGTCCCAGGACTCCAGGGAAGCATCCTAGGGCCAAAGCCCCATCCTCAGCCCAATGCCTGTGCCATGTTCCCAGGAACCATGAAATAAATAAATAAATACTTCACAAAAGCAGGGCAGCTCTAGGGAAAGAAAGGGTGCCTGAGCCCGCTCATGGCTTAGAGACACAAAGCCCCAGAGAGCACATAAATGAATGTGAAACTGTAGGAGAGAGGATGGGGACCAAGTGGCCTGTCCCACAACTAAGACTGTTTTGCTGGAGAACAGCCCGGAATCTAAGACCCAGCTCGGCAAGTCCTCACACTTCTCAGGCCCCCAAGGGTCAAGGGCTCAGACCTCTGCTCTGGTCTCACACTACATGGAGCGAGGTGCAGGGGAGGGGAAATGTAGCTCTGAGCCGGGAGGGGTGCCCAAGGCTCTGAGCGGTGGGAGCAGAAGTGATCGGAGTGCCTGGCATCTCCCCATCAGGGCCGAGGGCAGCTGTGAGCTGAGATTCTGCAAGGTGGGGCTGAGGTCCTCTGAGCTTCTGGGACGCCTACGTTTTGCTATGATTAATACAAGGACTTCTGCCAGGCCCCCCTAGTCACAGCCTCCTCGGGGGGAACTGGGGAACTTCAACCCTGTTTCTAGAAACACTTTTGGTCTTGTTAGCCTAAAAGTGTTGGTGGGCAAATAAGGAGATCCTGGTGCTGGAGAGACAGTCACACAGCAGAGTTGGGGCATGGCACTCCCAGGCCTGCGCAGACTCTCGAGGCAAAGGTCTTGGCCCAGTACCCATGGGAGGAGGAATCTCTTTTCCCAGTTTCTGATATCCGGTCTCAGTATTCCCAGCTTTGGAGAGCTTCCCTGATCCTCAGACCCCAATCGAGACCAGAAATGGCTCTCTTCTGCCCTCTAGCTTATATTCCCTGTTTAGGCCAAAGTCAACTAACAGCTCAGGACAGAGCAAGGCAAACATACTAGACCCTCCAGGGCTCTCTCCCCTCTGGTTGACCATCCGCAGGAGTGGGGAACAGCTCCAGAACCCGGCTGGAGACAGCAAGGGCAGAAAAGGAAAGCCTACCGAGCGTTCGGGCCACATTAGCCCAGCACACGCCACACAGGGCTAGGGGAAGGGAGAGTGGGGTCTACTGCTGGCCCAGGGACCGGTGCCTGCTTGGATCCTGTCCCCTCTTCTCACTTGTTCAAGGTCTGGTTACATGAGGCACACACAAACACCGTCTCTCTCTGGGCTTCAGGGGCTGAAAAGGAGGAAGAACTTGGTGAGACTCTTCCTCATGACCCCAACTCCCACAACCACCTCCCCAGCCCCCAAAACCCCACAGACCACCCACTGCTCAGCCCACACCCTTGCCAACCCAGATCCCTAGCCTGCCCTTGGAAACATCTTTTCATGGGAACCAGGGACTTCGGGGATGACCATGCCAACAGCAGGCCTTTCCCAGGTGTTCTATGCATTAGAAATTATTTTGCCACCAACTCAACACCTTTAAACATGTTTTTTAAATAAAGTGCCGGAAGAAAACTTTCCAAGATGTCTTAACAGTGGTTTTCTCTGGGTGTTAAGATTACAGAATTATTTTTCTCCTCCTACTTTTTCTGTATAGTAATTCCCAAAACTTTCAGTATAAGCACGTGCTACTTGCATGACCAGGAGGAAAGACAAAAACCCTTGATTCCTCGTTGTATATTACAAGGAACTGTGTGAAGCAGGCTCCCTTTCTAGAGCGTGCGTATGCGTTTATCCTGTGTGCGGTGGAGTCTGCCTTCTGCTCATCTGTCTGTTCTGTTTTGTTTACTACGATAAGGTACAGCTTTTATAGAAGGAAAAGACATTCTTCTTTATTTTATTAGAAGTATTACCAAGGCAATGAGGAAAAGAATGAAATTCAGGATGGTGGTCTCTGGGGAAGGCAGGCGTGACGTTGGAAACCCAGTGGTGTGGCTAACGCTACTTTAACTTTGAAGTGTTTTAAATTCAAAGAAGCTGTCACAGTCATTCATTATCACCCATCATAATTCTGATAGATCATATATATTATTTTGCGTTTTTTATTGTTAAAGGTGATGGAGGAGGTGTTACTACGGGCCAGACCAGGGTCCCAAGTTCCCTTGACCTATCACTGACCCTTACTCCTATCCCACAGGCAGTACCTCCTCAGAGGTGGGAACCAGCCACGCCCTCCCACTGCCCTGACCCCCAGCCTCCTGCATCACTCACCTGTGGCCCCCATGGAAGACTTGGGCACCTTGAAGGAGCAGCACCGGGAGCAGAAGCTATTTCCACAGTTACTGCAGCTCCGCTGCCAACAAGAGGCAAGGTCGGTATGCGACCCATCCCCAGCCCAGGCCCCTGGAGCCTTCAGCACCCCTCCTGCCACCCACAGATCCCACCCAAGGAACCTGGGACATCTGTAAACGGGGAGGTGCCAGGTGGGGCAGGACTGAGACCCCACAGGGAGCCCTCACGGAGACTTACCCTCTTCTTCAGCACTGAGAAGGTGGCCGAGCATCCTGTACAGCTCCCTGAGAAGGAGGCAGCAGCTCAGCCTCGAAGCCTCTCAACCCTCCCCCCCTCCCCAGTCTTACAAATGGGGACTCAGACACCAGCCCAGACTCCTTGCTGGGAGCAGGGAGTAAGGGAGCAAAGTCCAGATCCAGAGACAGAAGGAAGGGACTGACATCTCCAGACTATACAGAGCTGCCAGTCCCTATACCCTCCAGGGGCTTCGAGGCCCCACCTGCAGGCTCAGCCAAAATAGAGGAGCATCCAGCAGAATCTGCCCCCTGGAAACCACCCGAAGCTGACAGGGTCACCACCCTCTGTGGTCCAGTGTGGCATCTCTGGAACCCAGTTCCTTCTCTTCCCACAAGCTCAGTAAGGACAGAGGGATAAGAAGTCACCCACACATCGCTCAACAATCCCGCTATGGACACCACAGTACCCCTCACTCTTGCCACAAACCCATACCCACAATTCCAAGCCTTTGGCCCCTCCCTGCCCCCTGACCGTACCGAAGTTGTTGGTGGGGTACCGCTTGCGGAGCCGCTCTGTGAGCCGCGACACCTTGCTGCGCAGCACTTCGTTCTTGCTCAGGAACCCGTTATCGTGCAGGGCCAGCTCATCCTCTACCGGGATCGGGGCACCCTCCTCCTCCTCCTGTAGGAACAGCTCCTTCCAGTCCTGCCCACCTTGTGGCAGGGCTCCAGGGCCTGCAAGCAGAGGCCCCCCAGCCCAGCGGCCACCCTCCCCCTGCCTGGCCCCCGCCCACCTCATCAAGGCTCCTACTTACCAGCACCACCAAATGGGTCTCCTGCTTCCCGAGGTGCAGGGGAGAAGAAGAAAACAGGGAGAGAGAGAGCAGGAAGGAAGTTGCTATGAGGGACCCCCCAGCAAAAGGAAACACTCAAGTGTTACTCTGAGTTCTGTCCAAGCAAGTCCCAAAGGGTGACATTGACAGAGGCCCCCATTCAAGGATCCCAGCATCAAATAAACTTGGGAGGAGCTGTGTCCTGTTTTTCAAACTGGGTGAGATTGATTAAGTGGGTCATTCTTTTAACAGAATAGAATGGAACAGGAAAGAAAAGATCCCTTACGATGCATTTGTTAGGAAACTTGTTTCAGTTAAGCTTTATCCATATAATAAACATAAGTATGAACTGGGCCAAGATGTGAGTGTGTTTCTTACTGTGAGTTATAAACAGAAATGTTTGAAAGCACCACCATCCAGATTCAGAGACTACAATCGTATATGAAAGTCCCAGAGAAATCTTTCCGTGGTTGAAAAGTAAATGGACTGGACTGATGTAAAAGTGAATGGGCCCGGTGAAAACTCCCAAAACCCCATTTCTTATATCTCAATTTCCCACTTTAAAGAGAAATTATTTCCTACTGTAAGAAAACTATAGCACAAATGTAACAAAATGACAGCTGCCACTAGGACTCAGTGCAGGGAACATGAGGAGTGGTGGGTGGGGACTGTGTGACTTTCCTAAAGAGGACAGTCACTCCTCAGCTACACGGGCCACTGCAGACTCAGGGCTACCATTGCTGCTGAAAAATTGAAAATCCAGTTTTCACTGAAATCTTCCCATTTTTAAATATTGACTCAAAAAATATAAGGTTTGTATGCCAAATAAAACACTACAGACTATCAGCTTGATCTACTGTCTTAAAATTGGGAAAACTGGCCGAAACCGGTTTGGCTCAGTGGATAGAGCGTCGGTCTGCAGACTAAAAGGTCCCATGTTCGATTCCGGTCAAGGGCATGGACCTTGGTTGTGGCACATCCCCAGTAGGGGGCATGCAGGAGGCAGCTGATCAATGTTTCTCTCTCATCAATATTTCTAACTCTCTATCCCTTTCTCTTCCTCTCTGTACAAAATCAATAAAACATATTTAAAAATAAAATTGGAAAAACTGCTTAACTTTCTCTGACCTAGAATTTGGCTGTGCAACCACTTTCTCTAACCTCCCCCTCCCTACTCTACAAAGGGGCATATTTCAGCTCTCATTAGTTGGGGACCACAGCAATGTCCTCCCCCAAATCTGCTTCCCCACATCAAAGGTGCCAAGCCCACAGTCTGCAACCAGTCCCCAGCAGGGCATTCCCAGAGGCTTCCAGAGCCATCCCTGCCTGGGCAGCCAGGACCGGTCACTCGATCAGCAACAGGACAGGCAGCAGTCAGTGGCCCCCTTTCACCCACTGAGTTTGAGCTCAGAGCAAGTTTCAGCTTCTCGCTTGGATATAAGAGAATTTAAAAACCCAGATTTGGGACATGAGAAGCCACATAGCTCCAGGACCACCCAATTTCTGGCCTGATCAGTAGAGGGTGCTGGGGAAAAGGGCCACCCACCTCAATTGCATCTTTAAATTCCTCATCAGGCTCGGCCTCCTCGGCCTCCTCCACACTGCCTGGCGTGAGGTCCTGGGAAGAGAGATTTTACTGAGGAGAAGAGTCACAGCTCTTGCACCTAAGGCAGAGGCCACCCCCCCTGAGCCAGCACTCAGGTTTCCCAGGACTTCTAGTCCTGCCCCAGAGGAAATGGCACAACTGTACGAAAGAAGGAAGTCATGGGAAAGAAGCGCTCTCTGACTTAGCGGGGACAGGGAGACGGACCAAGACCAGGGTGGACCTGTGTGGCTTCAGCACAGGGGTTGAGAGCATGGACTCTGGAACCACAGGGCCATCTGAATCTTGGCAATACCACCCTCCAGCAACCACTGTGCCTCAGCCTTCTCCACTGCAGAGGAGAACAAAATCTCATCCTCAGAAACAGCCTACACCTCATGGGGTTAATATCTATAAAGTGCGTGGAACAACAGAGTAACTACTCAGTCAAACACAGAGTAGCTATTATTATTACAATTATTACTACCAAGCACTTCAGAGGGGATGAGGCCTAGGGAGAAACAGGAACCACATAGAGGTCAGCCCAGGAGCTATGTGCTATGAACAAGCTCGTAACAGAAGGTGCTGGAACCTGCCCACAGCAGGCTCTGCCCTGACAGTGGGGGACACTCACCTCCGTGGGTGTGGGTGCAGGCGTGCAGACTGGCAGAACCCCCTTCCCTCCAGCTTCCGGGGACGGTGGGCTCTGGAAGGTACCCTCTTCCTGGCTGGTCTTCATCCGCCGCTGCAGACACGCCCTGTACTCAGACACCACTACCCAGAGCAGGAAAGGCGGGATGAAAGAGGCAGAAGCAGGATGAAATGAGTGGTGCTTTAGGGTATCCATTTCTGCTGCTGGCTGCCTCTGCCTCCAGCATCCCACTCTTGCTGCAGGAAAGAGTCACCCTCCTAATTCCAAACAAGTCACCTAACCTAAGCCTCATAAAGAGAAGCAGAGATACCACCACCCACCCTATGAGATTGCTGTAAAGAGATTAAATGTAATACGTGCTTGATAAATTAGGGATTCTGTCATTAATTACCCAACCACACCAAGTAAAATAAATATAGCAATCAGCCAAACATATGTAAAGGCTCAAGCGCCTATGACTTGGGGCCTCTTCAGGCTGCCTCGTTGCTTTAGAAGCCAGACAGCAGACAGAGAATCGGGATCACACAGAGATGTGGCAGCAACTCCAGGGGGCTGTGTCCCAGAAGTCAGGTGGCAGCAATGGGAAAGCATCCTTCCCTTACCTCCCAGAAGCCACCATATCACCTAAGCAGTGATTCACCTGCTCAGAAAGGCAGAGGGATCCCTACTGTGTACAGCCTCCCCTGTGCCCCACCAAATATCTCAGAGAAGCAGAGCCCAGGGGAGCCTGTCTAATTTGGTGCTGCCCCCTTGTGGAAAGAATAGCAAATAGATGATCAATGATAAGAGACAAGCAAGGAGCCCACCTGTCAGGCTCTCCAGAGCTTACCTCGGAAGAATTCCACGTTCCCTAGAAAGAGTGTGCTGTTTAAAAGGGCAAGGACCCAGCACAGCGGCAGCAGATACAGCATGCAAACTGTGGCCAGAAGAGCTCCATAGAACCTGGATTGACAGAGGAACCACAGGATCAGAAATTCCTAAGACCAGAAGGAAACAATCTGGAGCACACCGCATAGGCCTCGGGCAAGAAATAGCACTGGGCAGTTTATCTGCTAATCAAACTAGTGGACTATAAAGCAATGTGGAAGGCTTGACAACTACCAACAAGTCACTGGTTGCTAACCATGGATACTGGTGAAGCCGCCACAATGGCTGAGGCTGGGGCCACGTATACTGGTTAAATGCTCATCACTCCTCAGGCTATAGAGTCTGAAGCTAGAATAAGACAAACTCGGCTCTGCATCCAGCTTTGCCATTTCTTGCTTTGTGTCCCTTGGTTTTCTGAGTGTCACTTCCTTCACAGGTAAAGTGGGGATTAAAATAGTGCCTGCCTCCTAGAGTTATTATGAAGAGTAAGACAATACATGGCAAGTGTTGAGCACAGGGCCTAGTGCAAGGGGAAAACTAAATAACTATTAGTTGTCATCATTATTTATATATAAAGGACCTAAAGAACATTCCTTCCACTTGACCCAGTAGTTCCATCCTTGAATTTATTCTAAGAAAATTTTTTCAAAAGCTAAGCCCATACATGTGTTCACTACAGGGTTAGTAATAAAAGTAAAACTGGCTAAGTGTATAATAGAACGGTTCCATAAATCATATCATATTCACCCTCATATTAATCTGGTATTACAATAATTCCAAAAGTCATATAGCAACAAAGAAAACCATTTGTGATATATAATGGTAAGTGAAAAAGGAAAGAAAAAGGGAATCTCACATATGTTAGGAAACTATAGACTATGTGCACATGACAAACTCTAGAAGTAAATCTAAACATGGTTATCAGCCGCTATATCAGGCTGGAAGGTCACATGGTGAGTGACTTTTCTATTATTAAAGTATTTTGCCATACACAAAAGCAGTGCATTCCCACCTGCAAGCCTCTCTTCCCCCGAGTTAGGGGCCCTGGGCCCTCAAGGCAGTGGCTTTGCCTGGGCTCAAGGGACAGATCCCTCCAGGGCGGCGGTGGTGGGCGGAGGGGCACTCACTGTGAGGACACGGTGGGGTTCTCCCAGCGCAGCACGCGGTAGGCAGCCTCACAGGTGCAGCACAGGCGGCGCAGGAAGGCCTCCAGCTGGATCAGGCTGCAGACATAAGGGCGTCGATGAGCCGCACGCCCTGCCCCACTCTCCCCAGGGGCCTGACAGCTCTGGGGCAGCAGAGCCCGGGACTTCACAGGCACAGCTGCCAGGCATGGCCAGTCTCTTCAAATGGAGGGAGGGGCCGGAGAGCTCAGGAGGACATTCATACATTTCAGTCCCCTTTTCGGAATCCCTGCTGAGGTAGAAACAGGACAAAGGTTCCTCCTCCGGCCTCTTTCTAACTATTGCTATGAGGCCAGTTACCTACCTTTAGTTAAGAGGGCTGCCGTTTTCCTCTATAAAATGAGGATCAGGGTGCCCACCTCACAGATACACTAGAGCTGTGAGGATAAATGATAGGAGGTAGACAGATCAATGTGCCTCCACCTAGTGTGTAAGGCAGACTCACTTGGAGAGCTTTTTTCAGTGGATGCACCCCAGAAGCAATGAGCACAAGCTTGTACAGTGAGCTCCCAGGCCATGGTTTCTGAAGGACTCCTGGGAAAAATAGCTGATTCTAGAGCCAGGGCAGGGAAAGTACAAGAATTTGAACATCATCTAGTCCCATAAAGTAAGAAAGCACTCAAAAAGATGGGGGCATCTGAAATCGGTTTGGCTTAGTGGATAGAGCGTCAGCCTGAGGACTGAAAGGTCCCGGGTTCAATTCCGGTCAAGGGTATGTACCTTGATTGCAGGCACATCCCCATAGGGGGTGTGCAAGAGGCAGCTGACCGATGATTCTCTCTCATCGATGTTTCTAACTCTCTATCCCTCTCTCTTCCTCTCTGTAAAAAATCAATAAAATATATTTTAAAAAAAGATAGGGGCATATTGAAAGAACACAGAAGCCAGTTCAACCGAGACTACTGGCCAAATCTAGGACAATCTGAGATCAAAATCTATAACAGTAATAGATTATAAGCCATTAAATTAAATTTAAAAATCTTGAATTCATATTGATAATAAGTAAGCATTACAGTAGAATGCCAGCTAATAATGACAATTACAAAATCACCTTTGCAATCATCATAGGAATAAACTGGTGAAGGCAAGACTCATCAATGGATTTAAAAGTAGGTAAATATTTGATAAGGAACAAGGTATTTACTTGTGCACCCCCCTCAGATTACTAACGCTAAAGAGTAAAAGAGTCATCTTACCGTGGAGAAACCTTAACCAGGGGATCAAAGATACTTCCTCCCAAAACAAGACAAACTGACATCACATATCTCCTGACTCAATGCACTGACAATGACACGTCACTGTCATCCCCTGCCAACAATGCATAACCTGAATCTAACCATGAGGAACCAGGCAACCCCAAACTGAGGAAAATACTACAAAATAATAAGCTTGCTCTATTAAAAAGTGTCAAGGTCTCTGAGGAACTACTACAGGTTACTACTAAGGGGACATAAAAATTAAATGCAATGTGTGATTCTGATTGGATCCTGGGTCAGGAGAAATTTATATAAAAGACCTTATTAATACAAGGTCTGATTATGAACTCTGTATTAAATAATACTAATGTTAATATTATCAATGTAAACATCCCTAATTTTGATTACAGGACTGTGGCTATATAAGAGAATGTCCTTGGCCCAACCAGTGTGACTCAATGGTTGAGCATTAACCTATGAACCAGGAGATTATAGTTCATTCCCGGTCAGGGCACATGTCTGGATTGTGGGCTCGATCCCCAGTAGGAGGTGTACAGGAGAAGTCCTTCAATGATTCTCTCTCATTATTGATGTTTGTCCCTCTCTCCCTCTCACTTCCTCTCCCTGAAGCCATTGGAAACGTATTTGTAAAAAAAGAATGTCCTTGTTCTTAGAAAATACACACTATAGCATCTGAGTAACAGGCGTGATGTTTGCAACTTACTTTCAAATGGTTCAAGAAGAAAAAAATAGTGTAAAGAGAGACAGATGTAGCCAATGTGGCAAAATGTTGATAATTATTCTGAGTAAAGAGCACATGAGAGTTCTTTGTATTATTCTTACAACTCTTCTGTTAGTTTTTTTTTGTTTGTTTTGTCTTTTTACTTTCACAACCTCACTTTAATTAGTCATATATGGGCTTACTAACTATAATCTATACCCTAATAAAGACTGGAACTATACATTCCAGTTGACTTTAGGTTAAAAATCATTTCAAAGTAAAAGATTTAAAAAAAAAACAAAAAAAAAAACAGATATTCAAACCCTACTCCAGATAACTCAGATTCTTGGGGGGTGGAGAGGAGCTCTGTTTATAACTGTTTTGGGCTGCCCAAGGAGGGATGAGAACCCAATGTATGTCAAGAGAGCCCAGTTCAGGGAGGGTTCAGTGAAGTTATATTATGTCCCAGGCTTAAGGTGCTTCTCCAGCAGTGCCAGCTCTGTCACATCTAAGAAGTGTCTCCATAGTGCAGTGAACATGACTAATGTTTACTGAACGCCTCCTGGGTACTAGGCACTCATTCAATCTGCACAACCACCTCAGAGGTAAGCCTATTATTGTCTCCTTTAACACATAAAGCACCTGAGGCACAGGAAAGCTGAGCAACCTGCCCAGTGTCACACAGCACATAAATGTAAGAGCTAGGATTTGAACACAGGATGTGGCTCCTGCATGCACATGCTAAGTCAAGACCCTAAACTCTCTCTAGTGGAGAGAAAACAAGCTGTGAAACTAGCTGGATCTGGATTCTCATCCCAACTCAGTCCATGTCTAGCTGTGAAAGTCCTTTACCTCATCCATAAATGAAGGATGGTAACAGTAGCTACCTCCCAGAACTGTAAAAGATGGAAGGAAATGGACCTCTGTGGTTTGCCTAATACAATGCCTGGCACACTCAGTGAGGTGGGAGGTGTCGCTGTGACCGTCCCTCACCTCCCTGGCTCCTTCCATACTCACAAGCACTTCACCTCAGCCACAGCCTCGGGGCGGGACAGGCGCACTCTCTGCAGGTCCTCCTGCCTCACGCTGTGATACTTCCTCCGCATGAGCTCCGACTCGGGCAGCCGTGCCCGGCAGACCTCCTGCAGGTAGCCCAGAAGGGCGGGCACTGAAATCACCAGAGCACCCACCGAGTACCACGCACCTGTGGGATCAATAACAGGTAAACAGGTAGCAAGGGTCAGGCGTCTCACCCACCCACCCACATGTCCACATGCTTGCTTGCTCCCTCACCTCCTCCAGGGCTCTGCCCGAGGCCTTCTCTGATCACTCCATAGAAAACAGTGTCTCCCCCTCACTCTCCAGCCCCTTGCCCAGCTTTATTTTACTTCACAGAATGTATCATATGACATATTGTAAGTATGGTTGTTGTCTCTTTCACAAATGTATCTTCTTAAGGGCTGGGACTTTGCCTAGTCACTGCGATAGCACCAAATGTATGTTTTTAATATGAAGAAGCCTATGCTAGCATACAGTAGGGGGCTCATGCCTGGAGTCTGGCCACTGGGGCCTCCCGATGACTGACATTCTGATCTTTGGGCCACTGAACAGACTGGAAACCTTCCCTTTAACTTTTAGGGTATCCCCGACCACTGTGGACTAAAAACTGGTAAGGCTGAGAGAAAATCCAAAGGAATTCTGGTACCCTGGAGGCAGGCTAACAGAGCACTCGCTGGGCACAGAGTAAATGCTCACTAAATATCTGTCACATGAACTAATTTACTTTGGACATACGTTTCTGAAAAATCTAACAGCCTGGGAATGCTATCTGAGTGCAATCAGGCAAAGAGCCCCACTGAAAAGCAATAGGAGACCTCATGTGAAATGGGTTTATTTTCAACCCACTGAGTCTATCGTTCCATGGAAAACCAAGAAGACACTTGAAAAATGTGGGTTCAACAGAAGAATGAATACATGAGTCAAGGACCCAGCTCCTCAGAACAATCTGTCCCAGGTCCTTCACTCATTTCCCCTGAGGGTTCAGCTGTTTTGGGGTTTTTGTTTTTGCAGCCATCTGCCAGTTCCAACAAAAAAAAGGGCTGGGTCACAGCACACCTTGTCATAACAGTTCCCCGGGAGACATCACTACCCAGGAACCATACTGCCACCCCCCTGTCCCACATCTACCTCACATCACACTAGACTCCTTATTGGTGTGACTGTCCAGGAACCCCTGCTGGGCTCATTTGCTGAGCCACAGAAAACCAATAGACATGGCAAAATCCTCCTCAGCTTACCTTTCTGTCCCCTCACCCCATATCATGCCCCAAATGACCCGGAATCAGCTTGGAAGCCAAAATGGAAAAAGAATTCAGTCAAGAAGGAAACTAATAATAATGACACAGAAGACTTCCTGGCCTGCAGGGAATATAATCCATGTCCCTAATGGATATCTAAAACCGTGGATAGTACTGAGTCCTACATAAATTTTTTTCTCTATACATACATATCTAAAGTTTAATTTATAAAGTAGGAAATTTCACAGACAGAAGATTTGTTCTTCCTGTAGAGCTTACCAACTTCAGGATATTTTATTTCCTTAAGTCAAGAACTTTCACCTTTTCACTTACAGGAAGTACTTTATAGCTTCTTTCTGACATATCAAAACTGCCAGCATCACTACTCTTGTGCTTTGGAGCCTTTATTTAGTGGGGGGGGAAAGTGTTACTTGAACACAAGCATTGACCATGACAGTCAATCTGATAGCTGAGAAGTCTGCTAAGTGACAGGCAGCAGCTTATAAGAGTGGATACACTGGGCGAAGGGATGATTCCCATCCCGGAGGGATAGAGAGATTCCATCAGGCTACTCAGACTGGCACTCAATTTAAAACTTATAAATTGCTTATTTCTGGAACTTTCCATTTAATATTTTTTAAAGCCAACGCTAGCACACAGTAGGCTTTACTGTCCACTTTACTGTGGACAACTAAAACCATAGAAAGCACAACTGTGGATAAGGGCTGACTGTCATGTATTGGCTGCTTACTCTGTCAGGCACTGAGCTAAGGGTTACACATAGATCCTCTCATTCCCTACAACTACCCTCTGAGGAGAGCACTGTTATCATCCTCCCTTTAGATAAGAGGAAAATTAGGTGTTAGGACACACCCCAGCCCAGCCAGGATTCTAGCCCAGAACGTGTCTCTCCAGAACCTGAGTTCTGACAGCACGCAGGCACAGAGGAAGTCAACTCCAGGGCAAGACCAGTGGCTCGTTCACATGGGGCTGCTTTTCGGAATTCCTCCCACACTCATTCACACACACAAAAAAAACCCGGCCCCTGGAAGCCATTCTTACCCTCATTCAAGGTGAGGAACAAGACGTTGAGGCCCAGGCAAGTCAGCAAGGAACACAAAGGCGTCTGCCACCTACAATACAGAGAATTCTAGTCACTAAAGACCAGCCAGACACTCCTCCAGGGGGAAAGGGGGGTGAGCCAGCACAGGTGAGTCATTAAAACCAGGAGCCAGAGGAGGGGGCCTGAGCTCAGGGTGTCACAGAGAAATGGAAACTGGGTCTCTCACTTGGACAGGTGACTGGGACAGGAATTAAAGTCACATATTAAGACCTGGGGTGAGAAAAGGTATCATCTTTGAACTAGAAGACCTGTAGCACTTTCTCCAAGGAAGAGGAAACATTCATAACATTTACTACTAAGAAACCTAGTGAAGAGTGCACTTTCCCATTCTACCTAAAAGAGCTTTCCCTTGGCTGGAGCTGAAACACCAAAGATGCCTTACTGGAGCACAGCAGAGCAGACCAGCACAGAACAGAGCCAGCCAGAGCAGAGCAGAGGAGAGCGGACCAGACCAGCACAGGGCAAAGCAGACCCACATGCGTGGAGCAGAGCAGCAGGCAGAGCTGTCTAGCCAGAGAGGAGCCTGGCCCCGAGGAGGCCGCCTCACAGCTGCTGTTTTCATAGCCCAGTGCTGTTACAATCAATTGAGCTGTTCTGCACTGAATAAAGTTTCCTTCTTCACAGGAACCCCAAATTGGAGATTCATGTTAGCATTGAATTGATGCCAACAACCATTTGTTGACAATTGTTTGTGCAATTCACCCAACCACTGGGGCACTAAAAAAAAAAAAAAAAAAAAGGAAAGAAAACTATAATAGTTAATACCAATTAACCTGTGTTTTGAAAGGTTCTATGGTTCTATTCTTTTTAAAAGGTGACAATGACAAACATTCTTCAAAATTTTCCTTTATTTTTATTGAAATATAGCATTCTTTTTTACAGTTTCATAGAACATATATTCACTGCACAAAATTCATCTAATACAGAAATCAAGAGAACAAAATATAAAGGATTTATCTGATCCCATTTGTAACTTTCACTTCTTATTAATGCAATTTTGAGTTTATTTTATATATGTTATTTCAAAAAGAGGAAAATATCTTAATTTAAAAATAAAGATAAAACCAGGGTATAGCATTCTCAGCAAACATGCCCTAAATAAATAGGAACAGATGGAAGCAGAGACTCAACTCCCACCATCACCACCTAATGGCAAAGCAGAAGCCTCCACTGAGGGAAGACAGACCAGAGACTCAGGCTGCTGAAGACAAGCAAACACGGCTGGCTTAGTCCCTGGTAAAAGACATTTAATAGGGAAAAAGGAGCACAGATGTAGCAATGAAGCTCTGACACCTATAGTCTAACGAGCAGCATCAGCCAGGCCGGCATGACTCAGTATCGATAGTTGAGCGGCAAACTATGAACCAAAAGGTCGCAGTTTGACTCTGCTCAGGGCAGGCCAGGAATCCCCAGTAGGGGGTGCAGGAGGCAGCTGATGAATGCTTCTCTCTCAACACTGATATTTCTCTCTCTCTATCTCTTCTTTCCTCTCCGAAATCAATAAAAATATATTTTTAAAAAATTAAAGAGCAGCATCAGCATATTTAAGGTCATCCATCAGGAGAGAAAAACAAATAGAAAAATAAACACGTAAGTTGCTGACAAACAATGTATTCAGAACTTAAATGTTTTGGAGTTTTTTGTTGTTTTTTTTCTCTCTAATTTGGGTATTTCAGAGTTACTAAATGAAGTTAGCTAATATAGGTGCTGCTCTTATTTCTTAAGTTATAGCAAGGAAATTAATACCTCTCTCTGCCTGTTTCTTAAAATTCAAAACATTCCAACCTTACCCCCCTAATTAGGCCTCCAAACCATTTAGTGGCAGCTACCAGGGTAAAAGCAGATTACAAGCAGGCCAACCCCATTTCAGAAATGAAAGCAGCACACAGCCACTGAAGTCACTTTCATTTTAAAGCCTCTTCCACTCTGTCTGTCTTCACTGACACTTCGGACCATCGGGGCCTACCTACTGGAGTCACTGGTCCCAGAGGAGAGGAGTCTTTTTAAAAATCTACTGCAGCTCTCGCTTCAAACCTAACAGCCACAGCTCAAGATTAGGTCCCTCTTCAAAATCAAATCCTCTTTACTAAGAAAAGAACAATCAAGCACACAAACTAATCTGACAGCCACTTTCACAGAGCAGAGACAAACTCCTGAGGGCATTTTAAGCCTGATGCTCCTTCTCCATCCAGCTTTAATCAATCCCACCACATCCTCAGATTTCTTTTCTTTATTTGATTTCAGAGAGGAAGGGAGAGGGAGAGAGAAACATCAATGGTGAGAATCATTGATTGGCTGCCTCCTGGGGATTGAGCCAGCAACCCAGGCATGTGCCATTGACCAAACATGAACCTGGAACCCTTTAGTCTACAGGCCTATGCTCTATCCACTGGGCCAAACCAGCTAAGGCTACATGCTCAGATCTAATTTCATAAAGGAGAAACTTCTAATATGTTATTTAAGAACATTAATAGACCAGAGGCAGAAAAGGAGAAAGGCCAAAAAAAGGCAAAACACACACACATGTATATAAATACATACGTACATATATCTACACTCATCATGCATACACACACACACACACACACACATAGAAAACACCAGAGAGCACAGCTCCATGCTCTCTAGGGCCCACACTTTCCCCTAGGAAAGATACAAGTTCATTTCAGATCGTTGGTCATGGTGGGATTATAAAATGATCTCATACTATCTCACTGTCCCTTTCTCCAAGAGCACAGTAACCAAGCAGCAGAGAACACTGCCCTGGAACAATGACTAGCTCATCTCCAGAGATAATGCCATAAATTAAAGGGGTTCTGGGAAGAATAAGAAAAATGAGGACCTTGGTACAAAAGTTAAAAATAAATCTTCCACTATTTCCACACTGAGGTAAGAACGATTGCTCAACAGCACACTTAGAGGTTAACCCAACTCTACTCACTCTGCCTCCTACCTGTCTCTCTTGAGCATCTTAGAGGGTTAAAGGTCCTAAATGAGAATCTGATAAAATTAGAAGCTTTTCCCTAGAAATACACACGTGCCCACATATAATTTTTCATTCAGTTTCAGGAGCTTCATATGCCCCGAAAGCCCATTTCACAGGCTCCAGACTAAGAATGCCTGCTGTCTATGTACTCCCACTGAGATGCAATATTAAGAACACAGGAACTTTGTAAAAAAAAAAATTTTTTTTTACTTAAATCTAATCCTTTCCATCTCCCTTACAGTTTGCTCCATGAGGAAGCAACCAGACATATCAGTGTAGAAAGTTCCCCAGAACAGTGAGCCAAGTCTCTCCAGCAAGTTAGTGTCATAAAAGAAGGTTGAGAAAAAGACATAGTAACCACAGAGAATGTATAGTCTGGACTAGAACCTGAGTTGGTAAAAAAAAATAAAAAATAAAAAATTGTAAATGACATCCTTGGAACAACTGAGGAAAACTGAATAAGAATTGGGTATAGGAAGATGGCATAGAATTATTGTTAATTTGGTTAGCTATGATGTTACTTTGGTTATGAAAAAAAAGTTCTTACTTAGAGACAAACAGAAGTATTTAGAAAGTGAAGTGGCACATAGCTGTAATTTAAAATACATTTATGCCTGGTCGGTATGGCTCAGTGGTTGAATACTGGCCTATGAACCAGGTAAGGTTCAATTCCTGGTCAGGTCTCATGCTCGGGTTTCAGGCTCAATCCCCAGTAGAGGTGTGCAGAAGGCAGCCAATCAATGATTCTCTCTCATCATTGATGTTTCTAACTCTCTCTCCCTCTCCCTTCCTCTCTCTAAAATCAATAAAACCATATTTTAAAAAAATGAAAATTATAAAGGAACTATTTCTTATAAAATTAGCTGAAAGGAGAAAAAGACAATTATAAAGGATGAAAGTCAAAGCAGAATAGAAAGGAAAAAAAATCGAGATCTATAATCCTAAAGGATTAGGGAAAATGATACCTGCTTATTCATAGGCATTTGCATTTCTTTAACTTAGGATCAAAATTATATTCTAATTTTATAACTAATAAGCTATTATTGGAGGGGGGGAGAGCCTGCTTTAGATAGAGAAGACCCAATAGTCAAGGTTAGCTCACAATCCTAAGGTGTAAGCTTATTCAACCACAAAGAACAAACCCTAGTGAAAGGCCAGATGGTTCCCAGTGCCTGCCTCTCGTGGGCAGGGCCGGAGGCAGAGTGGGCCTGGAATAAGCCCAAAGGCCCAATGGACCTTCACTGGGGCAGAAAGGACAGCCTAAATGGCCAGCACAACGACAGATCAGGAAGACAGGAAGCCCAGCAGGTCAGAGCAGCGCTACCAAGTCTGTACCTGAGCAAGTACCGGACACCATCACCTGCGTCCTTCAGGGGTTCCAGGTAGATCTCCAGCCTCTTGTAGGACAGAACCAAGTTGAAAAGATCAAACGTCGGGGACTTGGCAGGGGACTTGGCAGGGGCAGGTGGAGACTCCAGAGGAGCCTCGGGCATCACGCTGGGGCTGGCCTCGGGCCCACACCCCTCACGCTCAGATGACTGCATCCTGTAACCATAATAATTCCTGGCATTTGCATCACACTTCCAATGCCCCGCACACTTCTACCCGCATTCCTTCATGTACTGCCCACAACCAACCTGTGAGGCAGGGGCAGGGCTGTCGGTGGGATGTCCATTTCACAAAGGAAAAAACTAACATGCAGGAAGGTGAAATGAATGTCGCAGATACAAACTCCTGCTCTTTGGACTCTCCCTCTAATGTTCTTTGGCCCACTGACCCATCAAGAGTATAAATTGAGCCCTGAACCGTTTGGCTCAGTGGATAGAGCACCAACCTGCGGACTGAAGGGTCCCGGATTCAATTCCGGTGTGTTTTTTTGTTTGTTTGTTTGTTTGTTTTTGGGGGGGCATGTGCCTTGGTTTTGGGCACATGGGGGAGGGAGGTGCAGGAGGCAGCTGATGGATGTTTCTAATCTACCCTTCCTCTCTGTGAAAAGTCAATAAAAAATATTTTTTTTTAAAGAGTATAAGCCATAAAGACCAAGCTGAAGGGAGGCAGCCTAGGGTCTCAAGAGAACTGATGTCCTGAAACATGTTTCTCCCACTATTTACCCGGCTCAATCCTTCTCCTCCTTTGGGTACTTAGCCTGAATATCACTTCCTTGCTCTGCGAAGTCTTGCTAACACATCCAGTCTGGACTTAGGAGAGACCCTCCGCAGTGCTCCCAAAAAGTTACCTACTCACTCTGACAGCACTTATCACACCAAAGGAGCACTCCCGCCGTCTTCCCAGGCTGCCCTTCTTAGCTTTAAGCTCCACCAACTCAAGGACTATGTCTTTCATTCACCCCTGTTCCTGCTCACAGTGGGCAAGGGAGTGAATGAACTGCCCACCCTCAGGACCCCAACGCTCTCCTCTGCGCCTCCCCCTTCTCGAACCCTCCCCTCTCCCTTCCGTTCTCAACTTTTCCGGACCACCCCTGCCCATCACCTCCCCTTTCCCTCCCCCGGACCCCAGGAGCAGCAGCCATCACCTCCTGAAACGCCCCATCTCCCTTCTCCGCTGAGGAAACGCTCACCTTCTTTCCTAATTTCAAAGTCCTACCCAAACGCTGAGCAGAAAACAAGGGGGCGGGACCTCGACGCCCATCAACGTCAACCCATCCCAGGCGATGGGCTGCGACCTAACGGCGGGGGTGGGGGTGACAAAGGGGCCACGGGGGCCCGAAACCCCCGCAGGCCGAGAGGGGACGGAAGGACCCAGGGCGGGCGAGAGGCAGGCGTCCAGGAGGTCAGCGCCGGCAGCGGCCTGGGCCACCAGGTCTGCAGCCCGAGGAGCCAGACGGGGCCCCGCGGCCCAGACCAGGGAAGGCCAAGCCCAAGGTCGCCGGTACGGCAGGTGGCGGCCCCCAACTCCGCTCAACCCGCGGGAAACAAGGGAGTGGGGAGCGGGCGGCACCTCACCTACTCGTCCGCCGGGTAGGCTCGGGGAGGGGCGGGGACGGCCCGGGGGCACTGATAGGGCCGCTGGGCCCCGTAGCGTTCCCTCAGGCCCTCCCCACCCCAGCTGCGCGCCCCTCTCCAATGCCACTCCGAAGTCGCAGGTCCGAGGACCTCGTCCGCCGCCCCCTCCGCCGCCGGCCGCCGCTTCCTCGCTGCGCCGTGCGCGGCGGCGTGCCCGTGACGTCATCGCGCTCGCCCCGCCTCCGGCCCGCTCCCGGGTTTAGCCCCGCCCACTCCAGCCAGGTGAACGCTTTCGTCAGCGCTGCGCCTGCGCGCTTCGCCTCCGGAGCCCCGCCCTGACTTCACTCCGCCCCTGCGCGACTTCCCTCCGCCGTGTCCTGCGCATCCCTGGGAGCGGGCGCTCCGGAGCCCTGACCCTCGCCTCCCCTGCTTTGCTCTGAAAGATTCGGACAGGGAGCCGTGGGAAAGAAAATGAACGGAAGTATGTACGTCTGCATCCTCCTCCCCAACTTTGGCACTTAACTCCCCTCCTCGGGACCCTGAGCCCACGAAAGGCAGAAACCTGTATGCCGCGTAAGCCTGGCAGAAAGTACAATTCCGTTCAGTGTTTCCTGAGCAGCTGCTGTGTATAACTCAATCCACCTCTCTCGTTGTCCAGTTAATCGCCCTTAAAGCACACACCCGCCAAAACCGGTTTGGCTCAGTGGATAGAGCGTCGGCTTGGGAACTGAAAGGTCCCAGGTTCGATTCCGGTCAAGGGCATGTACCTTGGTTGCGGGCACATCCCCAGTGAGGGGGTGTGCAAGAGGCAGCTGATCGATGTTCCTCTCTCGATGTTTCTAACTTTCTATCCCTCTCCCTTCCTCTCTGTAAAAAATCAATAAAATATATTTAAAAAAAAAAAAAAAAAAAGCACTCACCCAATGGCTTTGCATCCTATATAATAAAAGGGTAACATGCAAATGGACCGTAATGGTGGGATGACAGGTGGCTATGGTGCACACTGACCACCAGGGGGCAGATGCTCAACGCAGGAGCTGCCCCTGGTGGTTAGTGTGCTTTCACAGGGGGAGCTCCACTCAGTACCAAGCCGGCTCGTGGCTCCCGCCACCAAGGCAGGACTAAGGATGTCCTTTGGGGAGCGGGCCTAAGCCATTAGTCGGACATCCCCTGAGGGTTCCTGGGCTGCCAGAGGGATGTCTGACTGCCAGCTTAGGCCCAATCCCCTAGGGAGCAGGCCTAAGCTGGCAGGTGGATATCCCCCGAGGGATCCTGGACTGTGAGAGAGTGCAAGCCAGGCTGAGGGACTCCCTCAAATGCACGAATTTTCATGCACTAGGCCTTTAGTTAATAATAATGCTAGCACCTAGCTGGTGTGGCTCAATGGTTGAGCTTCGGTCCATTGACCAGGTCACAGTTGGATTCTGGTCAGGGCACCTGCCTGGGTTGAGGGTTAGATCCTCGGTAGGGGGCGTGCAAGAGGCAACCCATGGATGAAGTTTCTCCCTTCCTCTCTCTAAATTCAATTTAAAAAAATATTTTTTAAAAGTTAAAATATATATACTAGCACTTACTGAGGATTTACCAGCCCACTAAGCACTGGACTAAGCTCTCTATAGACCATATCTTAGGTAGTCCTCCCCCAACAACCCTATTAGGGCTATTGTCCTTTTCAGTTGAGGAATCTGAGACATGTTAAGAAATTTCATCCATGTCACTCAGCCAACATGCAACTGGAAGCTAGATTTGAACCTCATGTGTTAACGGACTCTGGTGCACCCAATCATACCACCACCATTCTTAGTTTTAATTTACTGGCCTCATCCCCTGCTACTCCCCTTCAAGAGTCTTAACTTAAGCCAACTGAGCCCCTCCATTGCTTGGGCTTTGCCTTGCTTGTGCTGTGAGCTTGGGGAGGGATGCCCTTCCCCCACTCCAGATTTGGTCTAAATCCAATCTATTTATCTAAGCAGTAGTCAAATGTCGGTATTCCTTCCTGATTGCCCCAGGTGGGAGCAATCATTTCCCCTTCAAACAGCCAGAATGCAGACAGATAGAATCCCACATTCAGTAGTTCCAGTTTATGGGGAGTGGGTTGGGAGGGTGGAATATGTTCCAAGACCTCAGTGGATGCCAAAACTCCAGTGTAGTTCCAAGCCCTATATACACTGAGTGGCAAGATTATTATGATCTCTGAACACATAATAATCTGGTCACTCAGTGTATATCCTATATAATAAAAGGCTAATATGCAAATTGTCCCCTTGACCAGGAATTTGACCAGCAGGCAGGCCGGCCAACCACCCATGTCCCCTCCCCCTGGCCAGGCTAGCCAGATCCCACCCATGCACGAATTCATACACCGGGCCTCTAAATATATATATATACACACTGAGTGGCCAGATTATTATGCATTCAGAGATCATAATAATCTGGCCACTCAGTGTATAACTATGTTTTTTCCAAACATGCCTATCTATGGTAAACTTTAATTCATAAATTAGGCACAGTAAGAGATTAATAATAATAACTAATAATAAATAGGACAATTATAACAATACTCAGTATCACTATGCTTGCATTCTGAGGCCATTATTGGGTAAAATAAGTATTATTTGAACACAAGCACTGTGATACCACAACAGCTGATTGATAACCAAGACAGCTTAGTGGCCAATGGGCCAGCAGCATATGCAGTGTGGACATACTGGACAAAGGAATGAGTCACATACCTGGCAGCACAGAGCAAAACAGCACAGGATTTCATCACACTGCTCGGAATAGCACATCATTTAAAACTTATGAATTGCTTATTTCTGTAATTTTCCATTTAATGTTTTTGGACCAGAGGAAGTGAAACAGTGGAAAATAAAATGGCAGATAAGGGGGCATACTATACAACACTAATTATATTCAGAAACACCCCTGCTTGTTAAGGGAATGGGCTTGGCTCTGTGGCCAGCCCAGGTTTGTCGTCTGCCGAATTCTGCCTCTTTAGGATGAGTTTACAGGAAGTATAAAAGAAGACTTTTTTTTCTTCAATATCTTAACTACCTGAAATCTCACCATTAGCAATTTACTCCAAAGATAAATTTCAATTACTCCTCCTTGGTTCTGCTTAGGCCACTGGCCTCAAGCTGTCGGTGGCTAGTAGTACTATTGGTTCTCTCTTCTGGCAACTACATAATTGAGGGACATTATTCAAGAACTCTTAGATATTATTTGGGGGATCATTGGAAAATACAAGAAGCCTTTAAGGACCAGAAAGAGACAACAGTCGTGGCCAACATCAAGGAACAAAGGCTTCCCCTGGTAATTAGAGATGGGTAAGCTATACTCTGCTTTCTGAGGTCTGACTCAGATGTCTTATAATCAAGTTCTCTTAGTGCTTTCTTTCCCTTCTCCAGCATTCTGAGCCTTCATTCTTTGCCTCAAATCCTGGTGCCATTGATGCTTCCCCCAGATGGAAGAAACCAAGGGGGGAAATAAAATAGTAAAAGAGGATAATACCTTAAATTGACATCTTTGAGATGTTAGTCTTTGCATTTTTAAGCGATGGTATGTACGGCCACATGATTGACTCATAAACCTCACTGTGGCTCTTGGAGAAATTCCAGAAGGAAATGCTGGGTAGAACAAGTTAGAAAAAAATAGGAATGGGAAGAGAAGGGAATGTCTAAGCACACCTTCCTCCACCAGATGGCTCCCTCTCCCACTATTACTCTGATCTCGGCGCTTCAGAGTGTCTCTAAACTTCAAGACCCTGGCTGTGGTCTCTCCTGCCACCATCTCATAGTGTGGGCATACCACTGTGCTTCACTTTATTGCTCTTCACAGATGTTGCTTTTTTTTTTTTCTTTTCTTTTTTCTTTTTTTTTTCCTTCCCTTCCCCTTCCCCTTCCTTCCTTCCTTCCTTCCTTCCTTCCTTCCTTCCTTCCTTCCTTCCTTCCTTCCTTCCTTCTTTCCTTCCAACAAACTGAAAGCAAGACCCTCCCTCCACCAGCAAAATGATTACAACTTGCTTTATTGTGGTGGTCTGGAACTGAACATGAAATATCTCTGAGGCATGCCTTTATACCAGATCTTTTCATGCTTCTGGCTGTATACGTTATCGCTTGCTGTGGGGGGAAAAAATTTAAAAATCAAAAGTTAGTGGCTTAAAACAATAATAAAAATCTATTATCTCATATTGGGTTTTGGCTTTGGGGTGGTTTGGGTGAGGAAACCATGAGCAGTGTGGTGGGCAGTTTTGGCTCAGGGGCTTTCAGGTGGTTGCGGTCTGTCATCGGAAGGCTGGATGGCCTGGGAGGCCTGGCTTCCATGATGGCTTCCTCACACGGCAGGCAAGTCGACCCTGGTACTCTCGTCTGACCAGCTGGCAGGAGGTTTCCGCTCCTCTCCAGCTAAGTCTCCAGATGACATCTTCCGTGTCCTCGTGATATGGCAGTTGATTTCCCCCAATTGAGAGATCCAAGAGGTTGCAAGGCAGGCAGCCACGAGGTCTTCTATGAAATCCCTCAGAAGTCACGCTGTCATTTTCAACATATCCAATTGGTTTCATTGTTACAGAAAACCGAATATGAACAA